CATAAGGAAATACAAACTTTAAAGAGCTATACCACAAAATTTTATTAATACAACTACTTTTATGTCTTAAGTGAAAATGATTCTAATCTTATTCTAAATTGATTTATGTAAAAAAATATCATTTAAAAAAATTGTCAATTTCGTCCTTTTTCTCAGCACCTAGCCCATATAATTCTGATCAATAGTTCACGAGATTGTTAATTTTTGTGAATATTATTTTTTTTTGTCAAATTCGTCCCTTTTCTCAGCACCAATCCCATATAAAATACAAAAATATATATACCATCAAATTTTACCCAAACAAGTTTAGAACGTCCAGGAACAAATAAGATCCTTTCATATTCATCAGTTTGTGCTATAATCTCCTCCTTTCCCTTTCTAATTTTTCGGCCAGAACCCTTTTCAGCTTTTCGGTTTTTTTTTGAAAGATCTTTCTTAGAAGCTGTAAAATCCTTTGTCAAGTCAATATACAACTGTTTTGTTGGCGTTACTGGCCGTTTGATTACCGGTGGCAATGCTGTATGCATTGATATTGTTGGTGACGACGATAGCCACGGAACTGTCGGCAATTCATTGTTTGGCGAAATTATTGAAGGAGTTTGGAAAAACTCCTTGTTGATAGTTTCTATAAAATTATCGTCCGGTATGGCAAGACTGGAATCTATCGGTAAGCGAATTGGTGGAGGTGGAGTAGTGGACCGATGAATTTTGTTTAAATTTTTTCCCTCTTCAGATGATATTGAAACATCAGTATTGGCATTAGGTTTATTAGGACTCTTCGATTGCGTTATATGCACTTTAACGTTATTGTCTAGACTTATCATAACCACTGTGGTAGAAGAATCTTTTGATAATTCGCTATTCAACCTTTTTTGTACTTTATCGACATTTCCTTTTTGACTATTTAGTGACAGAGTAGATAACTTTGTGGATATTTCTCCAAATCTTTTTTCATGTGAATCTGAAACAGAAAGGTCAATAACATCCTCGCTATCACTCCTCACGCCATTGTGCGATAATTGATTTTTTCGCGTTGGAGAGGGTATACCGAACGGGCTTCCGCCATTTATCTGAGTTTTATGATGAAAACAATAATTTTCCGAAACAACAGGACGTTTACACGGTAAGCCTGTCGATAAAGAAATACCTTTACACAAAAGCATACTTGAAGCCTTGTATTTTTAACTTATGTGTGGTACTTTAATAGAGATTAAAAGAGTGTCTGCTCGATATTAAAGGTTGAAATTGCGTTTGAAACTGGAGTAGGTTTAACATAAAGTTCCAAAATTTCAGAATAAGTTTTGTTTTGATTTCCCTGTATTATATCACGTCATCCGTGAACAGTGTCCAGGGCAGGGACCCTAGAATTTACCCCATCATCCTATTGGGCGATCATTTGTGTTATTTTCCAGTACCCACGTGCTACGTATAAAAATTTTTAAAAAGAACTGGCAATGTGTTAATTTAGACATTTATGTATACTTTCGTTATTAAGTAAGGATAATGTAAATTAACAATTGTGACATGGATAGATTTAATTGTGGTTGCGATCTTTGAATTATGTTACTTTTGGTAATTCTATTTGGGTTTTAATGGTTATGGATTCTGTTCTATGTAGAGTGTAGAATCGATCAAAATTTTGAACATCGGGATAATTTTTATTTAATTCGATCGATTATTGAGTATTGGGCAGTTAATTTTTAACTATTTTTATGTGTTTGGTAGTGATAAAATTTTTTAAATAAGTTTTTTTATAAATAACGATTCATTAGGGCGACTTTTTAAATTGTCCTAAATTTACGACGTAGTTATGATAGACGTTTAATGTGAGGCAAATCATTTGACTATAAGTACATTTATAAGAAGAGATGAGCTTTAACGTAAGAGAGATGATTTTTAACAGTAAAAGAAGATGGGTTTTAAGGTGGGAAGATGGGTTGAGGTGATAATTATATTAGTTGTATTGTTTTTGGGGTTCAGTTTAATAAACGCGTCATATGGTATATCATTCAATAATTAAATAGTAATTCGGGGTTTTTAATTTTTGCTAATTGTAAAAATGCATCTGAATGTTAATAAATTTTTTAAGTTGATATAAGTAAAACATGGAATTTGATTTAATATTGAATAAAGATAAACACTGTATCTTTTGTAAATTTTTACTGATGCTCGAAGATCTGAAGTTTATTATAAAGCGAGGTTTAAACTTATTGTGGGGGCTGATGCTGAATAGTTTATTATTAAATTGTAAAATTTTTTAGGGCCTTTTTTGTGGTCTTTTTTTTTTATTGTTTATACGTAGACTTGATAATTACGTTTTTAGTACATAAGGGTTAGTTTTTACTTATTTAAGTATTCTCATTCTTACGGCTATCAACAACGGTTACGGGAACAAGAATATGCAATAATGTTTTATAACAATAAAGAAAGGATAATTTAATTGCAATTAGTAATTAACAACTTGATGAATAATATCTAAAGTTTTTTTGGGGGCATTAGTTTATGGCGACGGGTCGACATGGCGACCCTATATGCTTGGCAAGCGCCAATTAAAATTTTCTAAAATTTTCTAAAAAATAAAATTTACTAACCTTAAATTTGATTGGCTGCTATATATAGGGTCGCCATAAAAAATTTTGGGAAAATAAATATAATGCAGATCTGCAAAGAACTGCTACCCTTGATACAGTGATCAAAACTCAACAATTTTGGATTAATGAGATGGTTCAAATAGTACATAGTAACTAATAAAGATGAGCAAAAAAACCTAATATTATGAATGTCATTTTACAAAAAATGATAACATATGATGTTCTCAAAAAATAAATCAACTTTGAACCTTATTTATCATGGAATCATGGTAATAGTTACAATGCAGGATATCTAAAGACTACAATCATATGATTTGTCCTATTTTTAAAAATTTTATATTGAAATTTGATGTTTTTTTGATTTCTTGTATTTTGATTGGTCAAAAATTAATTAATAAAAATATTTTAAAAATAATTTTAAAAATAATTTTAAAAATAGCTAATAGCAAGAAGCCAAAATATGTAACTTGTCCTATTTTTGGTTAAATTTTTATGCATCATATCAAAATACTATACTTTTAAACTTATTAATTAAAAGAAATTACAATAATTTTTGGAAAAATAAAGTCACTAAGTTGTAGTAAATTAGTTAAACTACAAAATAGTGGACTATTTTTTGTGATATTGTTTTTATATCAAATATTATAAGCTTTTAAAGTTTGTGAAGTCTTTAAGTGTCTTGCACTGTATTTATTTTTATTAGGATAGTCAAATTAATATTGCTAGAGCTCTTTCAAGCAAAGAATGATTTTCTTATTTAATCTTTATTAAAACTTCTTATTCGTGAAAATTGCTACTTAAGGGTAGAGTATATATCAATCATTTCTATTATTATTGATATGACAAAATTTTTACTATAATGATAACAATAAATAGATATATTGATAACACCAATAATATATAATGTTTACTTTAAATATTATATTTGGAAAACACATTTTCTATTCAAAACTAACGTAAGAATATCTTTTATTTTAAAACATTTGTTTAAAAACAATATTTTTAAGCAAAATAATTCTATGAAAGCCAAGGTTATATTCAATTTACATTCAATTAGTTCTAGAAAATTCTATCATTTAAATAATTAAAAAATTATATTTTATTTATAAAAGTCGTAATGTCAATTTGCTTTATATAAGATATAATAATGGTCTAATAAAAAAAGTTCATTATATAAAATTTACTATTTTTTTAATATTTATTATATGCGCGATTTATTATAAAATAAATTAACTAATATTATGACAATAATTAATCTATAGAACGAACTATGAGTACCGCAAGAAAAAATATCTCTTGGTAAATTATAGTATATCAATATCGATATTAATTTTTTATCTGATTTAGCTATAACATATTGGGCTTTCAAAATTTATACTGTATTGTATATACATACATAAATTACGATTATTTTTCAGAGGCTTTACCTGATATGTCATGTAATTGTAAGCTTGTTGCGTCATTAGTCAGAAGCGTTAAATTAGATAAATAATCAATAATATACTATAATTTATAGAGGTATATTTTCTCTTGACAGCACTAATATAATGACTAATTGGCATCTTAAATATATTAAAAAAAAACCTTGGGCACGTATTTCTATTCAAAGAAATAATAATTCATGGATCATAAGAGAAATAGATTCAGAATTGGAGGTTTTAGATATTCATTCTACTCTTACACCTATAAATATTAAACCTATTATTGATAACCCTAACAAGTTAGCTAGGTATTATCCATATCAGCTTAACAAAGATGCAAATTTAGTATGGGTACCATTATTATCAGAATATACGATATATACATTTTTAAAAAATAAATATTTTAAATTATGTATATCAAAAGATAAAAATAATCAAATAATTTATAAGTGGGTGGAATTTGGTAATGATTCTTCTTTTGAAAATATACAAAATGAAGGATCTGATTATACTGCATTTAAATCAATGTTTCAGCAATACAAGTTTTACTAAATATTTAATCATTGGTGCTTGATAGTTATAATGGTTAGTTCTACAATATTGTTTTGTAATTCCTATACTTGCTAATGTACTTTGTAGTGCATGATAAGTAAGACCACCAGCAAAACTAGCTGCAGCAACTGCTTTAGAAAATCGGATATCTATATTTTCATTATTATTTTCTATCATAGCACCACAAAGTTTACAAGTTATACAACATTTTATAGAAAAACCTATAGCATTCACTACGTAAGTTTTTTTTGTAATATCATTACATTCACAATTAGAACATAGTTGAGATAAAACTAATAACAAATAATTTTTTGTATCTACTAAAACAGTCGATCCAATTTCTGCATTTTTTATTGTATTTGTTACAATTTCATCTAATTGCTCCTTAAAATCTAATTTGGATTCTGATATTTGATCTTTCATAGTAAGTGTTAAAATTTTTGATTTTAACTGATTAATAGTTTTTGACATTCGGTAACTTTTTTGTACTGACTCATTATATTTTATCATTAATGCTTGAATACGATCAGGTGTAAGTAATTTTCCTTGTGGTTCTAAAATAATACCTTTTACAATTAGCTGATCTTCATTTAATATTTT